CAAAAATACAATATTAAGCTGTCTTCCAAATGAAAAATTAATAAAAATTCAGACAAAAAGAGAAGATAAAAAAATTATAGATTTTTAAAAATAATATATTGAAAAGAACTTTATGCAAAAACAAAAAAGCTTAATTCAAAACAATTTAAAATAAAGCACTAATAATGAATGACGTATGCACGATGAACTGGTTGAGAAATTAAACTAACTTCAACTTGACTTCTAAACAAATTTCGAATCTAATTCAAGTTGACTTTAAGCTCTGATAAGGATATCAAGCAGAATCTTCAAAAACAACATCAGAAAGCTGTTAAAAGCAATCCAATAATCCACTTAATCCTCAAATTTCAGCTTTCAACCCTACAAACTACAAAATATAACCAAAAGAAGCTTCAAAAGACTTTCTAAGTCATTCACTTCATTAGTTCTACACAGATGTCAAGAAACTTATCCTCCTTACCTTAAGAACTACAAAAATTATTAAATTTAATTCCCATAAATAAAGCTCATAATTTCTCATCTCGTTCAACTTAATAAAGACTTTTCCGAAACTTATCTTTGCCTCTCAGCAAAGGAAATTTCACTCAACAGGTTATTTCGAGGAGGAAATGAATCTTCCACTCTTGCTGCTGTTGTTCATGTTTAAATGATAAAATTCTTGTGCGGTCCACCAAAATTTAATGGATATAAATTAAAAATTGCGCAAAAAAGCCACAAAAATGCGAGCTTTTGAATAAAATATGTAAAAACCAGAATAGTCGAGGGTGAATTGTAGTTTTTTATGTACAGCATTGCCTGTTGAGTGAAAATTATTTCCTGTTTAGCAGAGTCAATTTCTTTGGTAAATAACTTTTGATATTTAAGCATTTTCAAGCTTTAGTGCTTTTTATAAATCTCTACGCAAACATCTTCTTGATGGATATCATCGAACGCGGCATGAATAAATGAATGTTTGTGGATTCCAACAGAAGTAATTACATTGAGCTCTGTTACAAAAATAATGAGACTATTACTTGCGATAGTAGTCGTCGGGAGGTCGAGTAATAGTTCTCAAGATTTTTTGGAGTACTAAGAATTGATTGCTCAACTTAATGTTATTTGTTTAGTGCTGTCAGAAGCGAGTTGATTAAATTTTGTTGTTGGTTCCATTGTTCTTTTGATTGTCTGATGAATTTATGGAAGATTCAAACAAGAATTTGTTCATTCTTCGTGAGAAAGCAATCAAAGACAATATTAATTGAATTTAAAGATCGAAGTCAACTAAAGTCAGTTGATATTGAAGCCAAGTAAAATCGATTAAGAAGGTTTTACTGAATTCTGGAATAAGGATTCAAGGATTGTATTAGACCGAATTCTTTCAAAGATTAAGCCTCAAACAATGAAGTAATCTTGAACTGCCTTAAGATGTTTTGTTTTTTTTTTTCATTTTTAAAGACACTACTTCTTTAAGTACCAAATGTTAATGAACATTACAGACCTTGTCTGAAGCAATGATTAGATTGAAAACTTCATCCAAGTCTTATTACTAATGCTAATCTAAATCGAGTTCAGAAGTAGGTTTGTTAAACACAGAATTTAACTTTATACTTCGGTTGTTCTTGGATAATTGCATCTAAATATCCAAGTAATTAAAGATAGAATATGGATTGATCTTAAGATATAATTGAATCCTAGTAAACAAGAACTGAATTGTTCAGGCAAAGTCTTAATTGTAAACTAATGATGCAGCAAAGATTCGTATCCTGATTGTAGATTGAATTCATATAGAATTTCAAAAACTATAGTCAAATTGAGTCTAATATTGGATAAAACCTTCAATCCTTCTCCATTCACAGTGTATACGTCAATGCACACCACAATAAGATCATCGGAACAAAAGTTGAATCCCCCAGCGAATAATTGACCATCACATCAAGATATGATAGCCACTTTTTTGGTAATCAATAGTCTAAATGAAATAGCCAATTGTACACTAAGGGATGAAGATTCTACCTTTTTCTCTCAACAATAACAAAAAATTTCACAAACATGTTTAAAAAAAGAAGAAAAAAAAGGAAAGACACTTAATAGGAAATATTTTTTGACGGAAATCTATTTATTATCAACAAAAAAAATTTAACTTTCTTCTTATAAAAGAACTTTAATAAAAAAAAACTTCAATAAATGTGACAAATAAAAATTTTCATTCAATATGTGACAAAATTTCAAAAATTGAAATCGAATATTTTGTGTAGTGTTCAACTCATAGAAATGAAATCTCTAAATAATTATTATAATTCGAAATAATAGACAAAAAACAGGTATAGATTTAGAATATTTAATTAAACAAAAAAAAAGAATGTATGATACACTATTGATTAGAAAATCTATATTGATTGAAAAAAAACGCTAATAATCGAATGTTGACAAAAAACAATGTTTAATTAATTTCTTTTTAATCTTCAAATTTTCAATCTACAAATTTCAGAGAACCAACTTAACTATATTAAAAATATATCTTTCGTGTGGATGAGTAATTAAAAAAAGAAGCTTAATAAACTCTCATTGTATCAGGGCAGGGGTAAAAAACTGTTTGCGTGGCTCTAAATTGTTGTGTTTTCGTCTACTTTTTTCCCTCAATTAATTATTAATTGTTTTGTTAACGTGAAATTATAACTGTTGTGGATTGGAAAATGAGAATTATTTTGACATTTTACTTAAGAAACTCTTACTTTTATATTTCTATATTAAGCAAGGAAAATGGATCTAAATGTCTCTCAATTAATTGAAATAGTTTACCAAGACAGTCATCATTTTTAGTAGCACGAATGGAAAACTAGATATCAGGAAACAGAAAATCAAAAAGTTGGTTTTAAGCTATTAGCAAGGCTGAATTCATAAAGACTAGTTTGCTATTAGTTGGCTTAAAACAAACTCTTTAATTTTCTGGTTCATGCTGTCTTGTGGTCCACTTTAGTAGAGTTCAGCTAGATTTTGTTGCATGTTAAGCTACTTATTGCGAACTCCTAAATGTTTATTGAAAGACATTAGATTCAACCTAACCTCAAAAATCTATGTATTTACCTACCAAACCTTACTTCCCTTAATACACAAAGATCTAAATCTGACGATGAGATTTCTTATATTGTCAAGCACAGTTATAGCTCTTTGTTGATTATATTCCGAAATTTCATTTTCCCACCTCTCAATTCTCTATAAATTCATCAAAATTGAGTACAGTTTGAATAACACAATAACAATTTAAGTGAATGAGAAACAAACAAAAAATAAAAATGTGGAAAGAGCCTAGTTCAATTAAATACCTTTAGAGATCTCAGAGCAATCATTTTAAATCAAAAATAAAAGCAAGTATGAAAGCTTTTTAAAAGATATCCAAAAAGTCATGGATATAATTCATTCAGGCTCAATTCATGACGAACATTTACATAATATCAATTTATATAATTAGGTTTATGCAATAAAAAGGGGTTGTTCACTATCAGAGCACGAGGTCGACTTGGTTTTGTTCTTCAAATTAAATGGCAAAGTTGAGTTGAGTTCAAACAAAATTCTAGTCTTTTTTGAGCACTTCTTGTTAATTTAATGCTTTATAGGAGGATGGAATCTTTTCAAAAAGTTCTAGCTAATTTAGGAGATTCCCTGCTGTTTAGGTATCAAAATAAAGCTTTAGATCGAAATTTAGCATCAAAAATATTAACAAATTGGCGCCAAATTCAAAGCATAAGTTGTAAATTGATTGATTTTGAGCTCATTGCCTTGAGCTACAAGAATACATTATATCCCACTAGACTTGCCCTAGATAAGCCTCTAGAACGTCATTTGTGAACAACTCCAAATTAAATTTATCGTTTATAATTGAAACTGATAAGCCAAAACTGAATCAATAATTGCATTTTTGCAGATTTTTAAATGAAAAAATAAATTAAATTAAAATCAAATAAAAGAAAATTAAGTTTTTTTTAATCATCAAAAAGAGCTTTTTCGTTCGTAATTCCTACAAAATAAGAATTATTTTTTCATTCAAATAAAATACAAAAATTCATTCCCTCATCTTTTTTGAAATAATAAGAGAATCATACAAAAAACATGAAATTGAATATTTATTATGCATTAAATCTCAATAAAAAAATAAAACTATATATTTCATACTATAATTAAGACATGAAAACGTACTAAGAAAGAGCTTTTGTAGAATTTTTCATTAAAAACTAATAAAATTGAGAGCATGAAAATGATGAAGTAAAGTCTTTATAATATTGTATGTTTCTATATTCAAATTTGATTAGATAGTATATGAATAAAGTTATTCTATAACAAATCTGAAGAAAATAAAAATAAAAATGGAAAAGAAAATGTATCGAAAAAAAGAAGGAGCTTAATTCAATTTAATTCTTTATAATTTATGATTATTTCTTTCAGGTGCGATGAGGAAGGAGCGGCTTATAGCTTAGGTGAAAATTATTATTGAATGTGAATGGATTAGAATTTTGTGCTTACTTTGAAGTTTGAAGAGAGAATTAAGGTTTCAGTGGTAGCTGTTTAACTACATTTGCCATCTTATTAGCATGAATTAGACTTCAAAATAGGTTTCTTGACAAAATTCTTTAATATTATGAGACGCAAAAAGTGCTTTGTTTTGAAGATCTATATATAAGATCAATCGAAGACTGACGTTAAATTAGCTTAGCGTTAATATTGCAATTATTTCATTGAATTTTTGAGTTTACTTCATATTGTTACTGTTTATTTAAAATGTTAATGACTTTCTCCTAGTTTTCAGAAAATATCTTTTGATGTTAAGCAGTCGAAATCTGAAAAATAAAGTTATTAAATTTAAAACTAATCCATACTTACCTTTGAAACTGTCATCCAGACAAAATACATCAAAACTACATCTTTTCTTAATAAAATGATTTATTATATTTCATCGACTTCATTGTCTCCTTAAGAATTGAAAAAAGACGAGACAAACATTGAACAATTTCATTCACAAGACTTGATTAAAATATTCGACTCAAAGTATCAATCTCATAAATATCTTGATAGATTTCCTCAACTTTCGTGCCAATTTTCTTTGCAATCTCCTGCTTATCATTATAATTTTGATGCATATACTGCCACAATAATTCACCATCAAGCACACCCCGTGCCGGATTTGCTAGAATCTTTCTCCATTGTTTGATTGTCCTGAATGATTTCGGATTCAATCCACATAAATGAGCACTATGGGTAAGTAAGACATTCTGTAACATAAAGAGTCGCCGATATGTCTTCTCCGGAAGTGGCAAAATAAATCCAAAGCTTCCATCGAGGGTCGCATAAAATGTCATGTGCTTATTATCATAAGCAGGAACTTTCTTATCATATTGATACTTTAAATTACAAGCAACACGAAACATTGCATTCACCTTTTGTCCTAAATGATAATCAGCCTTACGAATTAGCTTCTGTCCACCATGTGATTCACGAGAATCTGGTTGATACATAAAAATTGATAAATTTGATTCCGAATCGGATGCAAGAAATGCTAAATTTGTATTATCGACAGCATATTCAATCTGATAAACCATTAAAGGATTATAGTCACGTGACACAATCGATAATGTCCTAAATTCATCTTGAAATCTCAGCAATGTAACCGATTTGTAGACGTCAGCAATAAGAATAAGTGATTTTATTGAGACCATTTGATGAATGTAGATATTAGTGTCAATGAAGGCAACACCTGTCAAGTCACCATTGTTTAATTGCCATAGATATACTTTCTGTCCAACAGCCGATACGAGTAATCCACGGCAACTTGTTACAGCCGATACTGGACCTTTTTGTTCTTTCGCATAAATTTCCTTCAATTTATATTTCGTCCATGGCTTATCTGGCTCCGGAACGACTTCAATTAAATCAAATAATAATATACGACCACGAGATGTTATATCCTCGCTATAATTGAAGTTTGTACCCATACAAATATATCCTTTAAATCCAGATTGAGCACCTTCATATGTCAACATGACCATTTTTAATGTTAGAACATGCTCCCATTCATCTAATTCCTTCTGAATTTCAGGCACAATTTGCCAATTTGATGGTGACACAAGAACGAATGTAAATTTATCAACTTGTGGATATAAAAATCTCTCACCACGATTATCCTCAAATTGCTCCTTATCCTCGCCATTAAAACGGAAAAATTTATTTGTAACCTCCTTAGTGTCTAGCACTAAACCATAAACTTTTACGTCTGGATGATAGACAATATGTGTGGGTGTTGTACGTAATGATACTTTATGCATCGGGCAATCAGCATCAACATTAAATTGCTCGTTAAATGTTGATATTTTTAAATTATCATCCGTAATGTTGAAATAAAGAAATCCATTTGGACAATTGATGTTATTAAACTCAGCAAAGCATCTAATACTTCCACTATTCGACGATATTGAATCGTCATTAAATTGATGTGTTCTTAACTCACCTTTAACTGTCAAGTAGACAAAGTATGATCGTCGATTTCCACAAATACAGACACCTGACAAGCCATTAATGTTGTTAAAGAACCGTAACTTTTGTGCATATCCTGGATTAATTGTAATTTCCTCATTCTCATCATTAACATCCATCGGCTCTTCTTTTGCTACTTGATCTATCGAGGAATAAATTATTGTGTGTCTCATGCGACGAAAACGAATTTTTAAATTTCCTTGGATATACCGAAAGACACGATAAATATATAAATCATTTTTCATTCGAATGAATAGCAACGGACGACTTCCATTATGTCCAAGACCACGTAATAGAATTTCGCATGGCATTAAGTCCGAGGACGTTTGATCCATTTTCTGTGATGTTGCCTCTTCATTTGTCAGTGGGACAAATTCCATTGCATCAGTTAAGACTTTATTTCCACTTCCAACATCCGTAATTAAATACACGAGCTTTAAATCGGGTACGGAATAAATTTCGAGATTACCATTGTCGCGTGTCACAAACAACCAGTATGAAGGCTTAATTGGTTGAAGGAAACGACGCCACCAGTCAGATCGTTGTGCATTTGAGCTTAATGACATGTCAGCCATAGATTGCATTTTAAATTTACTTCCTGTCTCGCCATACAACAAATCTTCTTCATCCTCAATTTCCTTGCCTGGTTCTGCCTTCATATATCCACCAAAATCGTGTGATCCACTTGCTGTTTTTGTTAAATCCGCATAATCATCACAACTAGTTGTAAACATGCCAGATGTGTCTTTATAGATTGAAATACATGTTGCAGTGCCGCTAATTCGATTACGATTCATATATAATCTTTGGGATGTATTTTCACGATTGTCACGCAATGCTAGTGTTATAACTTGTCCATTTGAGGCACGTACACAAATATATGGATCAGCAATTGAGACATTCGTTAATGGATGTCCTAAATCAATTGGAATATTTTGAACCAATTTTGTCCCTTGTATTAGTCGAATAGATTTAGATGTGACTTGTACAATATATCGATTGGAACCTAGATTGCCAATAAATATAGTTGGAGTATTGCAAGCAAATCCTGTATTATGAATATCACTGATTTCATCGCCAGTTCTCAAAACCATTGTTGTTGACCTTTGTGTGAGAATCATGAAGGAATGCTTATTCTCATTTTTCATCTGTGAATCATCAATGACCGTCCATAAATCTAAACATCCATTCAATTCAAAACTTGTAAGAATTTTTGGTCTCAATGTGTTTTGCATAAAGACAACAGCTCCGTTTTTGCCATGACCTACACTTGCCACAACTTCTAGTTCCATTTTTGATACATCACGTTTATCACTCTCATCATCCTCATCTAAATGTTCATCTTGTCGTGAAACACGCTCTCCTACAGCCATAAAACCAATAGGCGAAAGATTTATTAAGCTATCGCATACTTCAAAGATGTAACTTGATAAATGAACAGATGTCTTTGTTGATTTTGCCCCATATACCAAAAGTTCTTCTTCCTCTAAACGCATCTTCTTGATGGCTACTTGTGAATCCTTTTCGACTGTTGGTGTATCTGTATCTTCAATTGTTATTACTGTATTGTCATCTTTCTCTTTAAATCGTAACAGCAGTGAATTTCCCAAACGTGATCCCAAAAATAGATACTCTTCGTGGAACAAACAAATCTGTAGACATGAAATTTCAAAAATAACGGTTAAAAAATATTTAAATTCACTCAAAGTTCAAAAATAACGCTAGAAGTTCAAAAATTTAAAAAACAAACAGCCGTTAAATTGAAATTTTTGATCCACAAAGCAACAAGCATTAATTAATAAATATTTATACTTACACAGCTCGTGAGGACACTTGAAGCAGCACGACTAAAATGAAAGCTTCTCACACTTCTCATTGAGTCAGCAAGAAGTGATAAAACATACAATTCACCATCCTTAAGAGATAATACCAACTTATCGTTGCTGATGAAAGCCACTTGAGCACAATCTAGACTTATTTTTACACCATCTTGTGGTCTTAGAGGAAAATTTGTTGAGTGATCGGCCGAACTATTGAGGCTGACACCATAACTTGGTACACTCTGATTAAGATAGATTAATGAGTTTACGCACAAAATTAGACATCCACTTATTGGTTTATTAATTGGAACAGCTTGAAGTGCATCAAATGGCAGATTTGTTACTGACCAAATTACAGGATGTACGCGTTGTTGAATGTTTAAGGAAATGGCAACAAGGCAGCATGTATCATTTCTTACAGCGATTCGTCTGTAATAATACAAATTTTGATGAAAATTAACTGTTGAAAAAAGTGGTGTGTTGTAAACGATTTTGTGTGCTTCATTACAACATTCTATAGTATGTGTGAATGTGTCACGTAAATCGTGAACAGCACACGACTTTTTACTCACCCAGGATAAGTTCTTACGGGTTCATATAAAATCAACAAAGTAGACTCATAGTAGCCTTGCAAAAATTGGATATCAAGCACATTATCAATTTTCTCGTCAAGATCCTTCAAAGCAATTAAATAAGACGGTAAAATTGGAGTTTTGGCAATAAGCTGCATTGGAGTCTTTTTCATTGGCTTAACATCCTGAATCTCAATTTCATCAAGTGTATTGTCTTTTCTGAATGGAAGCACCACAAGCTTCTTGCCATAAACAAGCATAACTGCACATCGATTATCTGGATCAACTCGAACAATTGGAATATGATGGTTTCCTGTCCATCCACATTTAACATCGTCTTCCTCAAAATAATGAAGTGACAATGTCTTTAAGTCATAAGTGTCTGGATCATGTTGTACAACAGACAATTTAGCTTCTTGGAAGCTTATTAAAAGTGCATCTCTTGGTGAATTATTTAATGACACAGACTGTAAAGACATGATATTCCCAAATATCTCATATGATGCTAGACATTCCATTCTCATGTTTGGTGGTCGATGATCTGAAAATTAAGTAGTATTATTAATCTGTTCCTTAATTATTCGTCATTTACTTACCGGTGAATTTCTCTTTTGTGTTAAGCTCAACTTCTGGAATAACTCGATAAATTTTCAAGACATTTGCACCACCAACAACCAAGTTCTCTTCGAGATTGTTAAAGAACTTGCACTTAATGGCAAATTCAATGCCTGTTGCAGGAACTACCTGCTTACAAATCGAGAACATCTTCCCTTAAAAATGATATTTCGGCTTTATTAAAGGTTATTGATGATTACCAAGTTAATAATGACTTTCTTACCGTTCCTTTAGTTTGTCCTTATGTTAGGAAATGTTCTTTATCCGTTCTATATATTTGATGGCCCTATAATGTCGATTAAAGGCTATAATTAAGTAATGTTTTGAATGTAAATATTCTCAATATTTTTGAAGGAAGCGAAACTATGATAATTTGTTTTTGAAGGAATTTGAATTTATTTTAACCGTTAGTGTAAGCTGCAGCACAGCTTCAGTTAAGATTTTCTTCAAAATTGTGAATTTATCTCAATCTTGTCTGTCTGTCTATTTTTGCCATAAAATTAGAATTTCAAACATCCGTTAAATTTTGTAAACAAATAATTTTTCTATTTTCAACTCGAAATAGTTTGCAGGCAAATTAATTTAATTCCAGTGTCTAAGACTGCTCGAGTTGATGACAGATTGCGCCCACGCCTACACAACTATCAAGTCATTCACACTTAGTTATTATTATTTGAAAAGTTCTATTGGAATGTTGAAAATAAAGTAAAAGTTAAAATAATGGCTGTTGATTTAAAGAAAAATAAGGATGAAATCCTTGATGCATGGAAGAAAGTGACTGAACATCAAGATGGATATGACTGGGCACTTTTTGGATACGAGAGTAAATCAACAATACTAAAATTGGTAATTTTTTTCACGTAATTTCTTCTTCTTGCTAAAGTTTGTCATTCTAGAAGCATTTACGACTCATTAATACATTTGTTATCTGCATTCCGATAACAAATGAGTAATACAGTATGAAATTTCCTCACCTGTCTGAACATTTTAATTCATTATTTTGTGACTGAAAATTTTCATTGATTTTGCAATTTTTTCATTAATTAATTAATAGGATGCAATTGGATCAGGTGGAATCGAAACAGTTGCTGAGGAGATCAATGAGGGCAAGATACAGTATGCATTTGTCAGGATTTTAGATCCAAATACACACCTTGTTAAGTTTTTATTAATTAACTTTCAAGTAAGTTCATTAACATTTTTCACATCCATTAATAATGCTGAATAATCATTAATTCGTTCATTCACAGGGCGAAGCAGGTAACTTTCATTATGCAATGTTAACAATTTCTTTCATAAATATTTAATTCATTTTATTAAACAATTTTCACAGTGCTGGATTTAGTACATAAAGGGACCTGCTCAAACCATATTAGAGATATTAGTAATTTACTAAAGAATCAATTAACGATAACAGCATCAACAATTGATGACTTAGATGAAGACCTAATTATATCAAAATTATCAAAAATCACTTCAGCTTATGACTTCCAAAATCGTTCAGCACCAACCGACGAGAGAATTGTGATTGGAACAAATTACAAAAAAGTCATACCGACAAAAGAAATTAATTCCGTTAAGCGCGATGAGTTTTGGAAGGAAGAAGAAAAGATTGAAAAAGAACGTTTGGAGCTTGAAAGTCAGTCACGTCGTGTAGCAAATTTAAAGCTTGAAGAAGATCGTTTAAAACGTGAACAAATGGAGCATGCAAAACGCGAACAAATGAATAAAGCGTTAGATGCAAAACAAAAGACAGTACCCAAACCTGAAAAAGTTGAAATACATCCAGTAAAACCAATCATCGAACGTGATGATAATACGCGTCCAAAGGCTGAAGAAATGCGAACTGAAAGACGTAAGGAAGCTCAAGAACTGATTGGCAATAAAGTTAATACAGCTAAAATGATGTTTCAACAGCAGGCAGCTCAAACTACGTCAGTTAAAGCTACTGGTCCACCTATAAAGCCTATTCGTAAGACAATTCCTAAGCATGAGCCAGAAATTATTCCACAAATCCCACAGAAAGAAGAAATTCAAGAATCTAGCCACGTTATTGAATCTTATGAGCAGCATGAAGAAGTAGAGCATGAAGTATCAACAATAAAAAGATCACCGAAAACACCAACAACACCAGAACAAAATATTGCATTTATTGAAAATACCACAAATGGTAATAAGGCCGAAGATGTGCAAATTATGCCACAAATTGAGCCAGAGCCAGAACCACAACCTGTTGTCGTACAAGAAAGTATTCAAGAAATTTCCCAAGTTTATGAGCTGGAACAGCCAGAGCAAGCCGCAGAGGACTTAAATGATCAGTCAATGATGAAGGCTGTGGCACTTTATGATTATCAAGCTGTTGATGATACAGAAATTTCATTCGATCCTGGCGATTTAATCACTCATATAGATCAAATTGATGCAGGTATGGATTTGTGTTTTGAAGATGTATAAATGTTTTTTGAAACCTTATTCCTTTTTAATTGGAATTGTATGGTTTTCGGATTTAAAATGTCATGAAAACGTTTCAATTCCAATTGTTGTTGTATGGTTCTGAAACTTACGTTTTTATGTTCTCAAAACCTTATAAATGTTTCCTGTATCTGTTGTATGGTTCCTAATATCATTTAAAATTTCAGGATGGTGGCAAGGATATTCTATGAGATTCGGAACCTATGGACTCTTTCCAGCTAATTATGTGCAACTCGTTGACGATGACGCTCAAGGTCAATAAGAAAAATTATCAACACAAGAAATATTAAATATTTTAATTATACATTTCCTTTTTACAGTTATGACTTATGTTAAGAATTATTTTAAAAACAGGAAAAGAAAAGTATTTCTATGCAATTTTACTAACCAAGTCTTTATTTGCAATTAAATTCATTTAATGAAGAAAAATATATAAAATTTAACATATATGTTAATCTGTTTAATCTAGTATTAATCTTGATCAATAAAAAGATTCATCTCTTCTGTCGTAATAATATTGAGTAATTGACTGTGAATTATAGCTCTTGATGCTCTAATTCCAGCTGAAAATTTTGTGATTTCTTTGATGTTTCTAATGCTTATTTGCATGAATGAGTGACGACAGTTAATTTAAGTTCACGGAAATGTCAAGTGAGCGACATATAAACGATTGCGGTGACTTGCTTTTTGATATATTGTAGAAAATATTTAAGTTTATAACGAACTTTTGAAATGTTTGAAAACCCTACAATTTTTCACAAACTCAAACATTTGAATGGTTTTGACTGAATATTTGAAATATTAACCGTTAATCAAAACCATGCAAATGTTCTTCTTCTTCTTCTTTATCTTTATTAAGGTCCTTTTTTAATTAAATTTTAAGACCATTTTCAATTCTAAATATGTTTTATATGTTTTTAAATTTTATAAATACGAACTGCAGTACAGGATATTATGTGTTTTGGTGTTAGATTTTGTCGTAAATATTAATTTCTTTTAAAAAGTTTAAAATTTTGTCTGTTTCATACCATGCAAATGTTTTAAAAGTCATCAAAAATCTTTTAATTAATCATACAGCTACAACTAAATCATGACATTCAGCCACAAGAAAACGACGCATTGCATTAATCTCAATAATTTCGCTAAAAACAACAAACAGGTGATCGAGATAATAAATAAGTCGTTTTCTCAAATTTATATCAAGTTACAGTCATGCATTCATTTCTCAAGAAGTTATTAGGAACCTGGAAAAGTGTTGAAGCTATTGGAAAATATCCAACAATTAAGAACTTCGCATATAATGAGGAATTAGTCTTTGAAGAACGTGGACAGCCACTTTTGATCTATAAAGCCATAACAAACATCGGAGGAGTCACAAAACACTGTGAAAGTGGCTTCATTCGTGCTAATGCACAGAATAACAAAGCATTCACAAATGAAGCTCACAATTTTGGACTGTCTGTCGTTATGGAAGGTGAAATAAGTGAGAATAAGATGACCTTGGAATCTAAAGAATTAGGAAGATTGTCAGTTGGCAAGGAACCGTTTGTCACAAAGATTGCCAAAATTTACGAACTTTCAAGTGATGATACTTTGATAATAACAACAGACATGGCCACAACAAGCACTGAAATGACTAATCATTTAATAGTCACATACAAAAAGGAAAATGTTTAAAAATATCTTTATTAATGATGATGGTGTCTGGATGTTTTAATATATTTGGAGGGCATCAATTGATAGAAACTGTTGTGATCTACTCTGTAGTCATCAAGACAGCTCTGGAGGTGTTTAATGTAATTAATCGCAATCCTGTAAAGCGAAATTTTTGATTAGTCTCTTTAGTTGTCAATAAAAAATTAATTGTCTACCTCAAGCATTCGATTTTTGAGTATTTCTTTCCGGATGGCTTACTCACTGGTAGTCTCCTGTAAGGTAAGGATGAATAATAATTAATGATTGTAACGGTCGAAATTTTAATTTTCTAGAACCATACAATTTTTTGATTGAGAATTTGTACGGTTTTTTTTCAAATTCAAATTTCAAATATACGTTATTTTTCAAGTAAATCAATCACATCAACTTACGTCCTTAAAGTGTCAAATGCCCTATTCATATCTCTCATTCGATTCCTTTCACGATCACATGCAGTCTTTTTAAAAGCACTTTCAACTTCCATTGCACGTTTTTTCCAGTCTTCTTTACGCATTCCTGAATTCTCATGCGAGCCTTTTGATTGATGTGAATTGTAACTATTATGGAATATTGGACTATCTTGCATTGAATGTATAGGAATAGCACCAGCAAGTGGATAAAAGACATTTGCAGGATTTGTGACATAAATAGGACTTGTGTAATTTGGAAAATTCAATCTTTGATTCCAGTCGTCTCCATAAATTGTGGTTGTAGCTAATGGATTACTGGCATTTGAAAAATCTAATGTAAAATGCTTTGGCGGTGATCGAATGTGATCATTAAATGAATCCATATAATTAACAGGCGCGTGTGACTCTAAATCTAAAATAGTCTTTGGCTCATCGTTGTGAATTTCTGAATGCATTTCACGATATTCAGCCACTGGCTTCATCACTTCCAAATTCAATGGCTGGAGATTTAAATCATCCATAACTTATTATTTTTTTATCGACTTGACACTTTGAACGACACTTACGGAATGATGAGTATCTAGAAGGTACCCGATTAATCATCATGCAGTTTCTCTCTCATTTGTGGATGGATATGACAGAGAAAAAAAAAAATGTTATCCGTTTGAACAAGTGTTTCCGATATACAGGCAATAGTTCACATATTAAGGTATTGTGAAGTAACGTAAATAAGGGAGAATATTAACAATAAACGATAGAACAGCAGTGAATAAAGAAAGGAAGCAAATAGTAAAAAATTGGAGCAACAGCATTTTCTTCCGTTTTTTGTTGGACATTGTTATGTTAATTAGGATCCTCTGCTATTGCTGCAATAATAACATTTAGTCTTCTTTTGTTCATTACAGCTGTAACGCGTGCCTTAATATTTCTAGTCAAAAATACTTAAAATTAAAGATTTGTCCATAAATGACGTCTTTTAACATCTAGTATATCCAGTTATAAATGATTTAATGTCTTGTTCCTTTATTTTAAAGTTATTTATTATTAAAACAATCGTGAGTTGATAAGTAAGAATCCCAGATTAATTCACTTATTACGACGAACATTACGCCTTACAGGCACAGTTTGTACGATTTCATTGTTCTTCTTTGGTTCCTTCTTCTTTTTAACGTCTGGATCGACTATTTTCTCTATTTTGTCCAGCTTTACTGTCAATTCAACAAATGTCTCTAATAGGTCATGGTAACGATCGGTTCCTTTGCTTGCTTTTATTTCTTGTTCTAATTTGTCTATACCAGCAAACAAGTAAATATAATCAGAAGAGTTAAGGTGGCTTTTTCCTTTGTAGAGAGAGAAAAAATAATAGATTTAAAAAAAATGTAAAGATATCAATTTTAATTAATTCAGTCTTTTCAATAAAGAATGACATTATTGTCATTATTATTGAAATATGAAAAAAAAGAATCATCATGTGATGTGTCTGTGCATTTTTGGTTTCTTAATCTCATCGTCTATCTATAAAAATGCAAATCTTTAAGGGTAAGGTTTGAGTCCATTCAATTATAGGACAAATAATGTCACTGAATGTTGAAAAATGAGAATGCAGAAAATTTGGAACTATATTTCAGCTTTTCGGTACACGTTCAAGCTTGAAATACTCTATCATGCACAATCAAGACTTCTTTGTTTACTGTTAAGCTACAAAGCAAGAAAATAGCAAGCAAATTTTTGAATCAAACTTTACATGGAAAATATTCATATTTGCAGCATAAATTTCATATTGCTGATACAGTTTTACTAAAGATACAGTTTTGACTTACCTATTTCTTTATTCTCAAGTGCTGTGATACAATCAAACATTAATTAAAATACAATAAACACAAAAAACGCAGTCAATCTCAAACTATCATAGCTTCAAGCCCTTTGTTCTAGAATTTTCGAAGCTTTAAACCCTTCATGTGTAAAATAATGATCTCAGTAATCTAAGAAAATAAATAAATCAGTTGAAATACACGAACAAAAACATAAAGACGTGTTTCTTTGAAAATCAAATATAAAACATGGCGCAGTCGTATAAAATTGAATGGGAACGATTTTCAACAGAATTCAACTCGTATCTAATTGTTTTAACAATTAAATACATTGCGCTATAGGATTATGATTGTACGTTGGGCGATACTGTCACATTATATTCCTGTGACCAGGTATGGACCTGGTTCCTAAGTGGAATATTTTATTGCAACTGATTCCTTCCATCTCGATTAAATGTTTTCTGAAACAAAATTTTTATTACTCTTCATAAGGAATTTAAAACTTTATTAGGAATTCATAGTTATAGCGGAACTACTTTTATATTTATTTCTCTATTTACTTTTATTTTATTTAATAAGTTTTTAGGCCTTTTTCCATATATTTTTACTAGACACAACAATTCGTTAAAACGAACTTATTAACACTTTTGATGGGATATAAGTCAGTGGACATCATCAAGAATCTACCATTAACGGATCCAGAGAAGCAGAATTATGAAAAGTGTTTGAGGCTCTCAAGAATCATTTTTTACCGTCATCAAACTTTCTTATTGAAAGAATGAAACTACGTGGCTGTGTTCAAAAGGAATGTGAATCAGTCGATCAGTTCTTTAGGGGCGTTCAAACCCAAGCTGATAGCTGTGAATTTAATCAATTCAAAGAAGAAGCCATTCGTGATCAAATTCTTTTCTGTCTGCACAACAACAATTTGCGAGAAAAGCTCATTTTATCTCAAGAAAAGTCATTGCACACTTTGATCAGCAAAATCAAAATATATTATTACAATCAGCAACAATTAGCCCAAATAGCATCAGACAGTATCAATGTAAATCAACTATCAGCAGTGCACCAAAGTATCCTCAACAAACAAACGTCGAATAAAAGTGAAAAACTCAAGATAAAAGCAACAGCGTTGAGAATTTAAAAGGCAAAAAGAGGAAGGAGAAGGTCTGTGCAGTTGAAGATCGCGAAAACTGTAAGTCTAATGTTATAGTCAATTGTGATGAACTTAAGGAACATGCAGAAAGCAATGTTTGGTGTAAAAAGTTACTCGTGCATGATAAAATGATCAATTTTAAGTTGGATACTGGATCGTAAGTTAATACTATTAGTTTAGATATGTTTAAAAGCCTAGGAAAGAAATTTAAGATCGAAAAGAGTAATTTAAAGTTACAAGGCTATTTTGGTGAAATTAATCACCCTATTGGGAAGATAGTTCTTCCAATTAAAATAAATAATGATGTGTATCATGAGGAATTTATAATCACTGATATAAAAACGGTACCTTTATTAGGCTTAGAGTCCTGTGTAAATCTAAAACTCATATCTCGTATAGATTCATTGCACTTGAACCAATTGTTGTGTTCAGAAAAGCAAAAGAATAAGTTTACAGATTATTATGAAAAAGCTTTTACAGGTCTAGGAAAGTTTGATAAACCTTTAAAATTAAAATTAAAAGAAAATTCAATTCCGGTGGCGAATCAGAATCGTCGAATTCCATTTAAGTTGAAGAATAAGCTTCAGAATAAATTAATTGAAATGGAAAGATTAGAAATCATTCCACGTGTCAGTGAACAGCGTGAATGGATTAATAGTATCGTAATTGTTGGAAAAGGAGATAAAATAAGAATTTGTATTGATCCAAAGTATTTGAATCAAGCATTGAATAAGTTTCACTTTCCGATACCATCTCTTGATGAATTAAAACAAGATTTAAAAGATTCTCAGTATTTTACGATTTTAAACCTCAAAGATGGTTTCTGGCATATAGAATTAGACGAAGAATCCAAAAAGTTGTGTACGTTTAGTTCTCCTTTCGGTTTGTGGCAATTCAATCGAATGCCTTTTGGGATAAATATTGCATCAGAAATCTTCCAAAAGTACATGACAGATAATTTTGGCGATTTACCTGGAGTCAAATTTTATATTGACGATATCATTGTTACTGGTAAAACACTTAAAGAACATGACGAGAATTTAGGAAGATTAATGGTCAGGGCATTAAAGTCAGGTGTAAAGTTCAATCAGAAAAAATTACAATTCACACAAAGCTTACTAAAATTCTTTGGCCATATCTTTTCTGACAATAAAGTAGATGTTGATCCAGAAAGGATTTCAGCAATTAACAATATTCCGAATCCTAAAAATCTAGAAGATGTGCAGAAGTTTTTAGGAGTAGTCAATTATATCAGGGATTTCATTCCCAATGTACCTTCTTTAACTGTAAATATACGTAATTTATTGAAAAAGGACAGTGAATTTTTATGGCTTGACAATCATTAAGCTGAATTTGAAAATATTAAATTTAAGTGATGATAAACTCAAAATCTATCAAACAGAGACTGATAAAGATAAAGATTGCTCGCTGTTAAAGACATACTTTGCCCAGGGCTGGCCATCAGACAAATCTAAAGTACCTGATGAGACTAAATTTTATTATAATTTGCGCAATGAAATTTATGTCTCGGATAATTTAGTATTTTATCAAGATAGATTAATAGTTCCCAAATCATTGAGCGATAAAATTCTTAAAGATCTTCATGAAGGTCACATGGGAATTACTAAAACTCTGCGTTTCGCCAAAGAATCAGTTTTTTGGCCTTCACTAAATGTTAGCATAGAAAATTTAATTAGAAGTTGCGAAGAGTGCAACAAGTTTCAGAGATCGAATCGAAAGGAACCAATAATTAAACACGAGATTCCTCTTCGAGCATTTGAAAAAGTTGGATGTGACATTTTTGAATTTAAGGGGAAGAATTATCTCGTTGTTATGGATTACTTTTTGAAATGGATTTCTTGTCAATATTTAAGTTCCAAAAATTCAAATGCTATAATTCATAAATTCATTGAGATTTTTACAGAACACGGCTTTCCAAAGACTATTATTGCAGATAATATGCCATTTAATTCATTTGAATGTAAAAGTTTTGCCCTTGAGTGGGACATTAACATAGTGACATCAAGTCCTCGTTATGCACAGTCGAATGGTCTTGCAAAAAAGCTGTAGGAATAGTTAAAAATATGATGAGGAAATGCGATAGTTTCAATAAAGTTCTAATAGCAATATACAATTATAATAATATTCTGTTAGTTGATATTGACTTGTCCCCTAGTCAATTGCTTAACAATAGAAGAATGAGGACTAAAATCATTATGAAAGATAGCTTGCTAAAGCCTAAGTTAAATCACAATTTAGGTGAAAAATTCAAAAAGAAGCAAAATAAAACGAAAATATATTACAATCGAAATGCGTATGTACGTGATGAGTTCGATGTTAATCAAAAGGTATGGGTACAATTGCTCAATAAAACATGGTCCAAAGGATCAATCGTAAAGAAATGTTCAGAGCCTAGATCATATGAAATTCGTATGGATAGTAATAGGGTTATTAGACGAAACTCTAAATTTATCAGAACTGATAGGTCAACAGTATCCAATCAAATTGATCAAAAGAAATGCGATGAGTCTAGTCAATATAGAATCAATCTTGATAACTTCTTCGCTGATAACTCACTGCATGAACCTCC